GGCCGGTTAGGGTTACGGAATCCGCGGACCGGTGTGCTGAGAGGTATGATGGCTGGTGTTGTGGTTGGGCTTAGTGTAGTAAGTAGTGGAAGTATACTGGGTAGAAGGGTAGACATATGGATGGATGTGTGGAGTATAGCGTTATTGAAGTTGTATATACGAGTATATAAAATGTACTATCAGATTAAGATTTGATATACATACCCATGTCATATAAGGCTGAATTGAAAGGTCCATGCAAGGCTGTGAAATGGAATATTGGCGATTGATCTGATCTGATAACGTAGATCAACGTCGTTTACTACCTCAACTACGTCAGTGGTATGTGCCCATATGCCAATCATTGACGAATGAGACTGGACGGCATTCCATCTGCGGGGTAGGATTTCGATGTTGACTTGTATTTCCTCGATCGTCTGATAGCTTTCATACTGAGCCCGGAAGAAAACAAAATGCTTTACGTACTACTATTATGTTCAGGGGTGACTCGGGACTTGAGATCATGTCGATCGATCGGGCAATAGTGCATGCTTGCATGCATAGTAGGGCTTACACTAAAACTTTCCCAATTGTAGGAGAGAATAGTAAATAATTGGACCAGTGAATTTAACTACCCATGCTATTGAAGTTTGTCTGGACAGTATGTACTAGTATCAGGAGAGAGAGAGAGAGAGAGGGAAAAGGGGGACGGGAATTATGATTATGTGTTCGATGATGTGTTCACGGGCCAGCACTGCCATCCGATCAACATGGGAACGGGAGGGAAGGATTGCTTGCTCTATTTCTAGATGCTTCTTCCCTTCGTGTTTTGTTAGGATAAATGTGGACAGTCTATTGCACGCGGGACGGCGAATATCGATTTTATTTATCTGTCCAGAAGGGAAGGAGATAGGTACGGAGGCAACGAGAATCCAGATCAGGGGCAACTGCACGAGGCCCTCAGATCCATGACAGGACCGTTCTCGACACTAGACCGGACAGTCTCCATAAGCCAAGTCCCTCTGCTGGCTTCTGACTGGTTATTAATCCAAGACTTGACTCAGTCTGGTCTCGGATTTGTCGGCATTTTCCGTAGCGATCAACCGCACTATCAGAGCCAGAAAAGAGATGGTTTCCTAGGACTGAGTAAAATAAAATGGTGCCAGTTGGGCGCCCCGGTGTTACTCTGGATTCCTCTCGAAAGGAAGAGGAAGGCAAAGAAAAAAAAGAAGGGATCGGCAGAAACAAGAAAAAAGGCTCCAGTCGGCAAGTGATCTGGATTTTGAGATCGACTGATGGTGCTGCTTATGTGATGAGTCTAGCCTTTTTTGTTTTGTATTTTGACTTTTTCGCTCCAGGATGAGAGCACAACGATAATGGCCCCCCCCCCCCGGCATTGATTAATGGGGCAGACTCCGTTCTCTCAGTTTCATCTTTTTTTATTATGCATGCCTGTACCCCCAATGATGTCAGCTTACCCTCGGGTTCATCGTCGAATTGCCACTTCGGCAACGTGAGAAACAATTCTGGACATTAATGAGCCACTTATAAAAATAACTGAGGCTGAGGGGCCAACCACCCCCCCTGATCCATTTAGTATTGTACCAGTTGGGTAATGCCTAAACATTGTGGGGCCCGGAAATTAAAGCTCACAACAAAATCCAATCAGATTGACGAATCAAAGAGGGATTGGCTTGAGTACTTCCTGTTTGGGATGGGGTCCAAAGGTCGAGAAGCCCCACCTTGGCGGGGATGTTGGCTCGATTCGTTCCTTGCAGTTGGCGGTCACTCGGTCTCTCTTGCTGGTTGTCGGGAATTCTGGGGTGTTTGCCTGGCCCTGAGATTCTTCTCTGGACAAATTAATATGGAGTAGTACCAGACTCTCGAACTCTTCGCCTGAATAAATACGATTGGATCGTATATTGAGTTTAGGTGGACGACAGCCTCGACCGGAACTCGGATGGTGATGGGTGTCTTTCCCTAATTTCCCATTGCCAGTGACAGCTCCTATGTTTAGTATCTGGATCATTTTTACCACAGCATTGAAGTGAGGACGAAGGTGGTTTGGGGCAGCCACCCCCAAATCCCGCTGCGGCTGGCTGAATGGGCTGGCCCCATAAGGATCGTGTCTCAACGGTCAACAGGGACTTAGAGCAGGGTGTCCGTAGTCTAACAGTAATATTCTCTTGAACGAAAGGCTGGAGTGAGACACACGCAGTGCCAAATGGAGTAAATTGGCAGAGGGCAAAGTCCTCTTTTTTCCCAAGTGGAAAACAAATCCTGTGTAAAAAACAACAATTCATTCAGGAATTACTAGCCGGAGTCTGGTTCACCAATCCGAGGGCATGACCCCCACTTCTACCCGAGCCGTGCGGACAACCACTGGACGACACAAACCGGGTCTCCCCTGACCATCAGAGCCGGGCCACCAATAGCGGACATTTGGTGCCTGACTAGTTGAAATTCACACCGCCAGCATGAATCCATCTTTTTCTGTACTACTCCGTAAGTTTTGGGAAATTTCTGGTGCCAAGTGGACGAGCCCCTTTTGCCTACGGTTGGCTAGACTCGTGGCGTTCGCTCCAGTCATTGTGAGCCCGTGCTAAGTGTTGCCCCCCCTAGTACAGTGACCTTTTTCTTCCCTTCATTTCCCTTCTCTTTTGTTTCTCTTTCTTCCCCTTCTTTCTCTCTTTCTCTTGTTCGGGTTCGTTCGAAGAATTTCTCTCCATCTATATCAAGTAGAAGAGGCCGTGTGCCCCCTCCCCCTCCTTATTTTTTTTTTTTCGGACCAACTTGTTTGACCACCGCTTCACTCTTTCAGCGGGCACTCATTCATTTGCACAAAGAAAAACACCGTATACCCAAATCCATTCTTGAATTTCCGTTCTATCCAACATGAGGGGTGCTTTCTTGGCTGCCGCGGCTGCCGTTGCCGGTACGGCGATGGCTGATGTCGCCCACATGCGTCGTCATGACCATTTCCACCACAACCGCGCTTATCAGCCTGAGGCTCCGGCCGAGGGTGATGAGAAGTGCGAATGTACCACCAAGGTCATCACCATCACTGGCCCTCCCACCCGTAAGTCACCCCAGGTGGTTGATGTCATGAATCGAATGGGATCGATACTAATCGTCATCGGCAGTGGTTCCCATCAACACCCCGGCTCCTGAGCCCAGCAGCAGCAGCTCTGAGGTCCCTAGCGTTCCCAGCAGCGAAAGCAGCAGTGTCGTGACCTCCGAGGCCGTCACCACCCTCCACTCCACCAGCACTGCCACCGTCACCGTGGTCACCACTCCTGGTGTTGATGCCACCGGCGTTCAGACTCCCTCGGGCGGTGTCCCTGGCACCCCTGAGGCTTCCTCTCCGGCTGGAACCCCTGAAGCCTCGACTCCCGCTGTTCCCGAGTCCCCTCTCCCCACCCCTGGAGTGACCAGCTTCTCCTCCACCGGTATCTACACCATCCCCGCCACCACCGTTACCGTGCGGGACACCACCACCGTCTGCGGTGCTACCACCACGGAGCTGCCCAGCGGTTCTCACACCTTTGGTGGTGTGACCACTGTTGTCTCGACCGCGACCACCGTTACCTGCCCCGTCGCTACCGTTGAGCCCAGCGGTTCCACTGTCACCAGCAAGATCTACACCACCACCTATGTCTGCCCCAGCGCTGGTACCTACACCATTGCCCCCACCACCACCTACGTGCCTACCAGCACCGTCGTGGTCTACCCCACTCCTGCCACCATCACCCCTGGCACCTACACCCAGGATGAGCAGACCGTGACCGTCACCCGCACCGACTTCACCTATGTCTGCCCCTTCACCGGCAATGACGAGCCCACCTCCGCCCCCGTTGCTTCCTCCACCTCGGCCGTTCCTGCCACCACCACTGCTGCCCCCTCCACCACTTCCGCCGTCGCCACTAGCAGCGCTAGCGCCAGCAGCTCTGCCACCCCTGTCCCCACCGGTGTCAGCGGCCAGCAGATGGGTATGACCTACTCCCCTTACACCAACGAGGGTGGCTGCCAGTCCAAGGACCAGGTCCTCAAGAATGTCGCTCTGATCAAGCAGAAGGGCTTCACCCACGTCCGTGTCTACTCCACTGACTGCAACGGTCTCGAGTACATCGGTGAGGCTGCTCGTCAGAACGGCCTCAAGATGATCATTGGTGTCTTCATCTCCAGCACCGGCATCAGCGGTGCCCAGGAGCAGGTGACCGCCATCAGCAAGTGGGCCCAGTGGGATCTGGTTACCCTCATCGTTGTCGGTAACGAGGCCATCCAGAACGGTTACACTGATGCTTCCAGCCTCGCTGGCTTCATCTCCTCTTGCAAGTCCTCCTTCCAGGCCGCCGGCTACTCGGGCCAGATCACCACCACCGAGCCCATCAACGTCTGGCAGCAATCTGGCAGCGCTCTGTGCGGTGCCGTTGACATCCTTGGCGCTAACCTCCACCCCTTCTTCAACGCCGATGTTACCCCTGACCAGGCCGGTAGCTTCGTCCGCTCCCAGATCAAGGACCTTGAGGCCGTCTGTAACAAGGATGTGATCAACCTTGAGACCGGCTGGCCCAGCCAAGGTAACGCCAACGGCAAGGCTGTCCCTGGTACCGCCCAGCAGGCCGCCGCTATCAAGGCTCTCGTTGAGGAGGTCGGCTCTCAGTCCGTCTTCTTCTCCTACTCCAACGACCCCTGGAAGGATGCCGGCGAGTTCGATGTCGAGCGCTACTGGGGTTGCATTGACCAGTTCAAATAAATGATCGTCCGGATGTCTATAGTTAAGGATATTTAAGGCTTGGAGTTTTTTTTTTTTCGTTCTACCTGTCTCGGAAATACCGACAGCTTTTATTAACTCTTTTTTCTTCTCCATATACTTGAATTGAGTAGATATAACCTTTCTATTTCATGTGTCGATCTCCTGGAGTATTCTGTTTTCTTTGTTTGTATATGTGCTAATCTATGATATGATCTGCAACTTTCTCTTGGTAGCCGTGGTCTTTATCTTTGGTAGGATTCATCCTTTAGAAATATTCTCCAGTAGACCATCGACTACCTAAGCTGTAAGAGCTGCTAAACACTGACATCATACATGTTCTTACCCCAAGCCTAACCCCACGGACTTATAATCATCAGAGTAACTAACTACATCTCCATATCCTGCCCTTAACAGCGATTAATTAGAACTCACCCAATCCTCCACAGCTCGAAAAAAAAACTATGCCGCCCCCTCCCCCAACCTCCGCAGATGTTGATTGATGGGGTTTCCCATCGGAGACAAGAGACCCATCACAAGCATAAGCCTATCAACAAGGAAGGATACAGTAACCAAGCCCCAATAATGGGGGTGGGAGTTATGCTCGCGGTTTCCGTGACAATCAGATGTTTGTCGTCCGCATACTGGGCTATGTTAGTTATATAGGGGTGTCTGAGGAGCCCAACATCCGCCAACATATACGTAGTAGTTGCCTGTGTCAAAGTTTAGAAGGGATGCTAATCCAGTATGAATATCCCTGGGGGCCTCCTCCTCCAAATGGCTTCGTCAACATCCAACTGTCTGTTCTGGCTAACTGGGTGCCGAGGAGAATGTAGTACCCTCGGTAGACTCCGAGGTACGCTTTCCTATCTGGACCTCTCAACAGGAACGGTCAACCCAAGCCCCGATAAGGAGCAATTTATTAGCTCCCTCCAAATCCCAACCCATAACTCATCTATCCAAGGGGTTCGATTCCCCATCGCCAAATGACCACACGGCGATGTCGCAGTCATGCGAGAAGCTATCCGATGACTACCCGCGAACGCGTCTGGAATCGAGAAGCGAATAGTGGAACAACTGCTTGAAGTTGTCTCAGATAAGATTGTGTGAGGATATGATGATCTGAGTCAGAGAATCCAATAATTCTCGCGGCGGTATAGGCTTGGATAGGGAGCTCTTCTATAACCAAGAGCCCCAGAAGTGAGTTCTCAGATCCTCTTCAGCGAAGTTATCTGATGTGGAATAAAGTCCCCGTCACTGGAGGACCTATTAGGCTGTCTTGCACTGCTCTGTGTGAACGGCAGCTGTGGTATCCGGCACCCCTTCATGGTACTACTGTAGTTCCCCAAGACCTCTGACCTAGGTCATGTGGGGTTTAGAGCCTAAGTAACCCTCTGATTCGCAACCCGGCATTGTTTAGCTAACAATTAGCGTAGGGGCACATGAGACCAGGAGAGCGTCCCGGGCGTTCGGCTTAGGGCTTGCCATGTTCAAGGCCTCATTTCGTACCCTTAGGAAATTGGATACGGAGTCGTGGTCTGACCATCCCGAATGTTCCGTACATCTTCTGCGTTAGATAGCGATGTGATCGAGCCATATATCGTCGAAAGTCCGGGACCGTTGTCTGTCATATCAGCCCTATCGATCGTAACCCCATTATAGAGAGATAGATGATAGAGGTTGCATACATTGAAACCTATCTTCTGACAGGCTTGTATATGATCCTCGCGCTGGAGTTCTTGATTATCCATCCATTTCTGATGATTCATAGAAGTGTTAATAGATTCCTTGGTCGGTTGAATCAAATATAGAGTAGGCGCTTGCATATCGTTCAGTTCATTGATGGAGAGCGCAGCGTCCCAGACTATGGTATCCTTCATGTATGAGGCGTTTCTGTAGCCAATCACTCCGGTCCGCTAAGGGTAGTCTTTGTTGGAGCCGGTGGGCCAGGAAACGGTGCTTCCCCATCCTGAGAATCTAATCCTGACTCTGGGCTTCTCGTTCCCCCTAGTCCGATCCTTTTGAGGAGCCTTGATGTGAGTCAGCCATGGTCCATATGTATGTGATGGAGCATGGAACAAGGTATGGTGGGCCATGATCTCTTGGTGATCAGAAGAATCAACTATGTCACTTGATATAGTCCTCACGCCAATATCGGGTTTTTGTTCTAGTCGGCTATCCAATTACTCAATGAGTAAGTAGAATTCGATGCCGCGCTAACGCGAGTCACTTCGTATATCGAAGATCCGGACTGTTCAACACCAAATTCAAGCCTGAAGTCTTCTTTTAAGCAGAAAGACTCTTGTGTACTATCCATCAACTTCAGTTTTATTCAAACAGGAATAGTACTTATATGCACAGGGTACTTAATGATTAGCACTCTCCAGATATCAGACGTCGTGTGCATCGTCTCGACTTATGCACCTAACGCTACTTGCATTTGTGCTAAGTGGGGATTACTTGTCGAATAATGTATAAGTATCTTCAAGAACCTACCTGATTAGCTCCGGGACGACAGAGTTTGTACTATCCATATGTGCATGAGTCATATTGTTGTGCTCAGTTAGTAGTCCCTTTCGCATCTCTCTCTATTACTTCTGTGTAAAAGTCGAAGAACCCCGTCAAGGGATATCTAGGAGGTAATATAGGCCACGCATAGAAAGAAAGGATCACAGAGATTGATTAAGTTGTCTTCGTCAATAGCCAAAGGGGGGGGGGGTTGAATTGATCTCCTTCCCCCCTCCCCTTACAGCAAAGATAAGCAACTCGGAATTGACAAAGCAGCGCAGATCGTGTTTCCGGGGTCACCTCCTATCGTTTATGACGTGGCTTAATATTGCATCCCCAATATAGGAGCCGTAGGTAAGTTTTAGTCCAACGTTTATCCAAATTGTGAAAGTAACTTCCCGCAGGTACGTGTATGATGCCCCTGGCCCCGTTTTACTTTAAACTTTTGCTATACCGGGGCGCTTAAAATCCCTCTCACAAAAGGGGAGTCTGGAGGGGTTCTCTTGTGGTCGCGTTGACCCTGGAACTTTGTAATAGGGTTTTAAGGTCTTAGTTTGGTCTAGAGGAGCTGGATAGAGCAGGTAACTGTGCCTTTGAGACAGGTCTTAGTTGACCCTGAGACCGTGCTGGCGGTTGAAAGCCATCTATCTGTGCTTCGGTCAACTTTCATCCGGTGAGGTCATACATATGGCAGGTACATACAAGGTCGCTTGTTAGTTAACTTGATTGGTACACTTGTATCTTGGAAGCTAATGCAGAGCCCAGCTAGCCCTGGGAGCGGATTTTGATGCGTGAGCATACCATACACAACCTTATCTGCGGGTGATATGCCCCTTTTGTAGATTTGGTGCTTCCTCGTCGACGTTAGAAGAAGTGAGGGCATAGTAGACAAAAGGGAGAGGGATACGTATGATGATATTTTCAGGGGGTGACTTTGGAGGAAGAGCTTGATGGGGTTTCGCGATCGGTGAACAAAGAAAAAGGATTTCCAGCATCGCCAGCGCGATGGGCTGTTAATATATGACTGCATATAGATTCACATTTGCGACCTATTTTAATAGAATAAGGTAATGCTCCCTGAATTCTCTCGTATTCTGCGGTATTCACAGCAAATCTGTTAAGTCAAAGAAGGTATATATTGACATGTATTAAGTAGTAAATACAAAGGTAATGACTCCTGTTCAATTCAATTCAGCACTCCATCTCGATACACATCCATTCTATAGATTCGATGTATCCGTGCAAGCAAGGTTGTCGTTGTATGTGTTATTCACAATGTTTACCAGGGGTGGTGGCACAGCTGTCAATGGTATTAGTTCATCTCCACATTCCATTCTTGCGCCTGACGCGACAGCATTGGCAACTTACGGAGTCACTTCCACACCGGAGAGGGACACAGCACGAGGAGGAGGACCCGATAGTAGCATTAGTGCAACGGCTGTCAACCTGCATTTTCCGATCATATTAGTATGTAAGCGTCGTGACAGAGATCGGGCAGGGCCAGTGAATGTAGGACTAGGAGACATACACCCATGCATGATGCCTGAATGTTGGCTTCAGCTGGTCTGGCGACAGCGACGCTGGCCATGAGAGCGAAAACAGCGAGGAAACGCATATTGAATTGATAGAGACGGAGTGGGTAGATCGGTAAGCAGATGGTTGGTATCTAGTTATCGGGACAGCTGGTTAGCTTATTATCATCACCATCATCATCATTACCCGTCGGGTCATCCCTTGGATCGAATTAGGGTTGGAGGAGGTTGGTTGGAATGGAGCAAACATACCAAACAAGCACGAGGCCGGAAATTCGTGCGAAGACTCACTCGATTTAAAGGTCCAAGGGGGAGGGAGAAAGGAAGGAAGGTCAAAACGAAAACCCCGGATAGGATCAGCCCCCCTCTTTATACAAGGAGAAAAATTAATCCCCCCATGGAGCGCAGTGGTGGAAACAGCCGCCAGCCTCTCCAACCAAGTTAACCGAATATATTTAGAAGCCTGCAGCTCGAGGGGCGTGAAACGCGCGATCAACAACAACTCCGTCCAAGGTTGCTGCAAGCCTGCAAGCCCTTGGCCCGTGGGGCAGGGCCCAACCGGTCTCAGCAAGTGACAGCTCGCTCATCTCTATCTGCGGAGTCGATCTGCACCTTGGGGCCTAATAGTCTGAGAGGGTATGTCTTGGCACCGGCTGATTGTTACTGTGTCTGTGGGTGTGTGTGTAAGGGATGAGTCGACCTCCATGGAGTAGGGATCGTCCATGGAAAAAACGAAAAATAGGGAAAGATGGACAGGAGTTCCAAGTCCGGGTTAATGCAGGTACACTATCACCACCGTTAAATCTCAGGGGGTTTTGAATGATACATCAGTAAGGAACCGTTTGCATGTGGTTAGCTGATCCGTCCAAATGTCCAAGTGCTGGTTAGTATTGCTGTGAGCTGTTGGAGGGATCCACTGTTTCAGGATCATGGCGTCTCAGTCCATTGTGGACCGTCGGAAGATAATTTCTTAGCAATTGCTTTTTGCTTTTAATCAATCAATCATTGATGCTCATTCGCGCGTCTAGATTTTGCGTATGACGAATTCGGAATGCTGCGGTGGATGACGTCACCAACTCTCGACACGCTCAATTTTCGACCGCATTCATATCAACGCGCCGTGTATATGTAGCTCAACAAGACGATGAAGAAGTAGTAGAAAGATAAATCCGTAGGAAAAAACTGAACCGATTCATTAGTGTTTTGAATGGATCCAATACGCCTTCGAATAAATGACACAATGTGCAAATCAAGCAGTACGAAATATGCGTCAGAACGACTCTAGAGTAAATCCAGGACCCCCCATATGTTCTGATGTCTCATAATGTATTGAAAAGAACTTCTCAAACGACCAAAAACATGTAACATGGAATGGAACGCCATCGCGTACAAAAACATAAGTCATTCCCAGAACAGTCGGACGGAGCTATATACGGGGATAAACCAATGCCCAAACTCATGGAGAATATGCAAAATTCGGTGAGAATCATAAAAAGCACTGTCGCACGTGTGTCGCTGCCATTATGTATTATTTCAGTAGGTGTCGCTCGATATGCAAATGCAGAGCTCAATGTAAGTTGGTTCGTAACGGGTCTCAAAAAATGCCAAATCGTTTTGTCTTTCCGCCTTCTGTTTTCCTCAATTAGCAACAAAACGCCAATTAATTCGCCAAGGATGATATGGAGCACATACCCTTCTTTGTATTTTGTCCACGGCTATTGATGGCAGCTTGTACTGGATCCACACCATCTGAAGCAGCTCGGATGGCTGCAATTCGCTGCGTCGCTCGAGCATCGCCCTGGTCAGCCGCTTGTACGTACCAGACGTTGGCTGCCAGAATGTCTCGACGACAGCCAATACCCATTTCGGTGAAATATCCCACTGCATACTGTGCTTTCGCCAGCCCTGTGATATGTAGCAATTAGTAAAGGCTGTTGGGCTTCGGTCCAATGCCACCTACCAGTTTCTGCTGCTCGCTTAGCCCATTCGTACGCCTCGCTCTCATCTTTCTCAAGCACAGGCTCAGCGCCAACCAAATACCATGCACAGAGAGCCATCATTGCCAATGGATGACCTGCCTGTGCAGCTCCGGTATAGAAGTGAATGCTCAGGGCGGGATCTCGAGGACAACTTAGTTTGCCATGCTCATAAGCATCCCCAAGGCGATAGCTTGCCTCGACATGCCCCAAATCTGCCGACTTAGTAAAGAGCTGCGCTGCATAAGAAGGATCCGGGAAAACATCGTCACCGTATCCCTTTTCGTGCAGCAAACCCAGTTCATAAGGGGCAGAATTGTATTGTGAGTCGGCGGATTCAGCGGCACGTTTCATCCACTTGATGCCTTCTCGATACCGCTTGCCGAGACCCATATCGCCCGCCAGGCAAGCTTTTGCCATACGCATCATGGCGCCTGGATGGTTTTTTGACGCGGCTTGACGATAGAACTGTTGGGCTTTCGCCGCTTCAACCCTGGTTCCCCAGCCAAATTCGTAGCAGAGCGCCGTACGGTAACAGGCTTCGACATGCCCGTGCTTGCTAGCCGCTACAAACAGGGGAAATGCCCGATCGTAGTCCTCCTTGCCTTTGCTGAACAGTCCCGATGCATAACCGTCGGCTAAGTAATATTGTGCAAATGGATAGCTGCGATCGGACAAGCGCTGCAGGATTGACTTGGCTTCTTTGAGCAGACTTGATCGACTGATTTCCGGCTCTTTTCGGCCATAGACGGCCGCCACACCCCCCTCCAGCGCGTCATCCGGCATGTCCAACATGGCATTGACCATGAACACAGCGAATTCATATTGAATCGCTGGGTTATCCGTCTTTTTGACATTGGCAAGGTACATCTCAAATGTTTGCTTGTGGCTGAGCAAGGATGCATTGTTCCCGACAGATGAGCGTAGGTGTGCATTACCAAGTTGCACCGGCGCAGGGCCCGGTTGAGGGTACGGTGTATTGAGGAGATCGACGAAGGATAGTGGTCGAACATCGGGTGATGCACTGGACGACGAACGCGCGTGGAGATACGGAGATGCATGAGGAGACCCGTTCCGTCCGTCGAGGTCCGACCCGAAAGAGTACGCGGAATGCGGTCTGCGAGGCTTGCCCACAGCGAGATGACCAGTTGTGCTGACGGAATTCTCCGCCAATCCTGCCGCGGCCGCGGGAGCAGCCCCGACGCTCTGATATGGGCGGTGATGGTAGTGTAAAGGCTCATAGGTCTCTGGTTCATGATCCACACTATCCAAACTACCGCGCGATGAGCTGTTCCGACTACCACTTGGCGCGCCTTGATCCAATGACGAACCGCTTGTTTTTGCCAGACTGTTCGGCTCATCCTTTATCTGGGCATCTACGACCGACCAAGAGCCGCTGCTGGTAGGCGTATGCCGAATGGGTGCTCCAGTAACGCGTGTGGCCGCATATGAATCTCGTCGTGGCGGGAATTGACCACTTGAACTTCTTGCCTGCGTATGCGGTCGATCTTCAATTGACATGTGAGTGAACGCAGAGGTGGGTATAGGTGGTATAGCGTAATCGTTGTCAACTGCGGCATTCGGCACTTGCTCTCCATCCCCGTCAACCCTCACGAAAGGGGCGAAGGATTCCCGGTTTCCAGGAGCAGCCGGGAGTGGTTTCCGCGAAATGCTAATGCTCAATGGTCGCTTGGAGGTAGTTGGAGAGGTAAACTCACGGTGAGCAGGGGGAGGGGGCGGGGAAGATCGAAGGTAAACCGGAGGAGGGGAAACCGGCTGAGGGTATTCGCCTGCCACAGGACTAGCCATTTTCATGGGCAGCTGTATCACTGATCCTCACTTAGCCCTCCAGAGCCTTGCAGATGTATACAATGCAAGCGTCCTGCGCTCCTAATGTGACCAATCCAATCGTCAAAGCGCCGGAGAAGCGGAGATCTAAACACAGCGCATAAAGGTTGTCATGGGGGGGGTGGGGAGAAGAGCTATTATAACAGTCAAGCGATTTAAAAACCAGCCCAGAAGCGAATGAAGTCCAGGGCACCGGCCGAGAGGTGAAAGAGAGATATGTACCGTGGAGAACTGCAGGGCGGGTGATGGGTCGACTGGAGAGGAGGTTGGGGTCCACTTAATAAACGTTAAACCATATGAATTACCTTTTGGCAGCTATGAAGGTAGATGAAAGACAACCTATGCCTGGATATCCTGGGGATTTAAAGGAAGACTCAAACGACAGAGAAGGAAGACCAATAGAGCAGACCAAGCGAAGGTGTTGATGTACGGAGTAGAGAAAAACCAAACGAGTAGAAGAAGTAAGAGGAAAAGAGAAAGTTCGATTGCTTTTTGTCAATGGCGGAGATGCCCTTCGGGATGATCCTAAATGGAACTTAGTATGTATTAATTAAGTTGGATGGTACGGGCAATCGTATTTTTTGTATTCGTATCGAGTAGGTAGTAGTCTGTATGTACTTTCTTAAGCCGCACTAACCTCGTATTATAGTTCTATTCTAAAGAGAGTGGCGGAAGAAAAGAATGCCAGTGGGGAAGAGAAGGGAGAAAATAAAAATACAAAAGCGGGAGAGAGAATAAAAGAGTTTATGAACACCCCCACTATATCCTTGTTGTCTTTTTTTTTTTTTCCTCCTTTACTCTATTTCTCTTTTCCCTTTTTTTCTTCCCTAATCGTTTATAATTAAAAGTGTAGAGGAAATATTTACACTTATTCAGAAGTGGGGTATTCCGTTGACTTTATGCTGAGTTGTTACCTATTTTAATTTATTCAAAATCGGTTGCATTACCTTTTCAACTTATTCATCTAATGTCTCAGTGACTAAAAGTAGTAACGACAAATCATGTTACCCGATGTAAAATTGATCACCCGGACTTGCGGCGGAATTACCGAACGATCTCAATACTGAAAAAAAGGTTGAGGGGTAATAAGTGGAAATTCAGTTCAGCGCTTAACCACCTAGCATCTGATAGGTGTGCCTTTGTGATGTGTACTTGACAATGGAGAGATATGTATGTGTCTGTATGTATAAATTGTAAGGAAAACAAAGCCGTAAAAGGAGAGATAAAAATAAAAAGAAGAAGAAGAAGAGCTCACTTCCCCTACTAGTATGTAATGCATACAAATTTGGTATCGTGGGTCTGGAATGTATGGATGTATGTACAGCAGTATGTCCGGGTATTGTACGTACAGTACTGTACGTGCATAAAGTCAAACTATTGTTCATGAGAGACCATCGATGGTGTCTTCATGTCTCACTAGTGGGTCGCACCGTTGGTGGAAGATAACTGACATGACAAGGGTACCAAGGTGTCATCAGAACTTGATTGAGCGTTGCATGGGCCATCGATCTAGTGCTACTACTTTGTATATTGAGTCCCGAAGGCCAGTAGATACTTACCTACCAATAGCTGTCGTCTCTTGTTGTCCATGTGGTGCTATGCAATGCCCATTCCAATGGCTGCCCTTCATTCCGATGCAAAGCAATGCACGAAACTGGGGGCGGTGTAGAGTCAATCTCACATTTTACGAGGAATTATGCCTGATGAGCTGTCCATTGTTCTCGATCAAATAAACCCGTACTAAGAATAGTAATGACCAGCGCGTGGCAGATGCTGTTGCTGACTGCGGAGAAACAGTAGTAGTCATCTTTGAGCCTCGCAATCTCATGCAACTGGTGACTCTTACTTGGAGCCGTTCTGCTGGTCTAAAATGTGGCTTTCCAATAATAATTGTTTGTTTTAAATTGAATTTGGTCATACCAAAGGGCCTAATTAAGCCTCTTGGCTGTTCTTTATGTACTTCGGTCCTCAACAGGTCACAAGTGAAGCACACTATTCCCTTTTCTTGACATTGTATTAGGATGTCTGCAATACTCATATTACTGAAAGTATGCGTCAAGAATTAAAGATCATTGTAATGCGAAAAAGAAAAAGAAAATATAAAAAAAAATAAACAAATAAAAAATAATGTCGTCAATCTCTCTCAGGTTGTGTACTGACATCAGATATAGAACAGGCCATCGAGAGGCGAGATAGTTGTCATTGGTCTGAGAGCAATTTTAGTCCTCAAAGTTACTCGGTTACTTTCTCCACCTCTAACTCCAGAGTCCAGGATAAGCTATGCATGTTTAGACGAAAACGCTGTTCACCCCAGCTTTACCCTGTTCATTTGGCATAAACGTGGCTGATTAGTACCTACTAGTGATAAGTTGGGGGATTTGATTCTTGGGGCACGATGATCCCAGCTGAATACTTTGGGGATTAAGCATGTCTGGGATGCGCGTTTAGGTGGAATACCAACTGCATGATGGCGTCATGAGCTGATTGATTGCGATTCAATGCATACACAGTCGAACATAGTTCTCCACAGGAGGTTCAACACTGGGGACACTAGAGGACGATCAGCCATCAGATCATTCATATCCAGCATAATTTCCAAAGTCATTAGTACCTGGATAAACCCCTTAACAAAAGAAAACAAGTGAAAGCTTTGGATCTACATAGGCCCACAGGGCATGATGATGTCTACCAGTAAAACATTATTTCTACGGCGAAGCGTTACGTTATGTACGTCGTTGGAAGCCTTACAGATCAGCTTCCCAAATTTAAATTTACCGAGTCAAACATATGTTTGTATTACCTACCGGTTCAGAGTAAGAGTACCCATCGTCACACTGAGGCTGAGCAGCTGTTATCAGGTGGGTTATTGATATCGATACAATGTAAGTAACCTGATAGAAATCACTGTTGCCCCTTTACAAAGAAAGGATGCTTTCCTGTTATGACTTGATAGGTGAATAATGAGGATGGCTCAATTATCTGTTGAGATGATGTTTTTGGTATTCATCTAGTATATATGTGAATAAAGATTGGCTGTTGGAACCTAAAGAGAAAAGGTAAAAAAAAAAAAAAAAAAAAAATGGTAAGCTCTTTGTTACATACTCCGTAATACTACGACCTGTATTGATTTCCTGCATTTCTGATATATCACTATTTAGTCATTGTGCATGATTCTGGGTTTCTGTTTCAATTCACGTCAAATCTACCCAATTAGTTCCTTAGTCCTAAGTCAATATCAAGCCCGATCAGAAATAATTAGAATGGTGTGCCGCCACCCAGTTGGGGTGGGAGGTTTGAGCCTGAAAATAGAACACGGAGTCTTACTCGATTGGATACATATTCTTGTAGAGGCGGTAGCTCTAGCCGATGTCAACCACTTACTCCTCCATAGAGAGCGCTAGCAGATTCTTTGGCCACAATATACAAAGGTCATGTGAGATACCGGAATTTCCACCCAGTACCACCATCCGACATCGTGCTGTCTACTGTAGTCTAATTATTGAGCACCGCCAGAATCTAATAGCTCGTTGGGGTTCTACCATTTTAACCTTGATTTTTGAGAAGGGAGGGGCAAATCATCCTGAAAAGAAACCTGGACAAAAGCATCATTGGCCGTGTCTTCCAAGTTGCCGGGGGTTAAACCAAATCTAGTTTAGGGCTATGGAGCCTGGGGAACCAACGCCCAATGAATAGTGGTCAGGCGAGAGGAGTCCGTGGTTAGTGAGGTAACCCTTATAATGATCCCGCGAGTTAATTCTATTGGGCCCAAGCTGGATCTAGCCCCGACCGATTGCCCCTAGCGACGCTGCAGCACATGGATGGCAGTTATTTGTGTACACTAATGAAAGGTTCCCCGTGGTCACTGTCCAACAACTTGTCTTTTGATAATCCTTCCGACTTGTCCTCAGCAAATCCCTATCTGATCTAGTCTGATTACCCCTTTTACCACTCTCGGTTTACCAGTTAATCTTCACCAGATAATAAACCTGCAGTGTGTGGTCGTACTCTGTTTCTTGGCTTCGGCCGAGGACTCCTGTAGCTAGTGCTAGTACTAGTAGTAGCAGTATGTATGTACTCCGTATGCGCAAGAAGCCTATCCTATGGACGGATAAAAATTAAACTAAAAAAACCAAAACAATAACACAACAGATGGCACTATCGCCTCCTACAAATTACCGGGTCCGGCAGGTACCCTTCAGGACTAATAGCATTGTAGTTAGACAGTGACTGGCCTGAGGTGGTATTGTTTCCCTTAAATGTACCACCAGGTGATCAGCCTTTGCTCCGCACCGTCTCAGGTTATTGTCCCGCAGATTTCATTTCCCTTCCCTTTACTTCCCACTTCTAACACCACTCTTTATTCACATCGCTCGCTTATTCTGTCGGGGGGTAGCCGCTTGATTTGTATTTTACGACTCGTTCTTCGAAGTTGTTCGCTCGCTCTGTTTACTGGCAGTCTCGTATTCGCACGGTTCGCTGGTAATTCGAATCTACCTGCGCCCATACCACATTGGAATCCGCGATCGCTTCTCAGGCAATTTCCTCGCATTCCTTTCGTGTCGCTGCTCCGTTCCCGATATTCGTCGATCCTTGCGATTAGCCTAGGAAGCTGGGCCTTGCGTCACAACACCCGTCGCATCGATTTACTACTTGTCTATGCGAAGATCCAGTCAGTCAACATCGCTTTGGTAAAAACAAAAAAACTATCGCCGTCTATGCTCGCTTCAATCTAACGGTGAGTGTGTCCTGATGCGCATTTCATCAGCCGTCCGGAGCCTACAATTGCCCAAACCTCGCCATGCTCACACTTTAGTTCCTTAGAAGCGTCATGTCTTTGCCGCAACGGCCGGGAAAGGCCTCCCCGCGACGAGAAGAAGTCCACTCGGCTTTCCGGGAATCATCGCGCAGAAGACGACGAGACAGTGAGACGGGAGGTCTCACTGATACGCTATCGAGCCCAACATCACACCGCCATCATCATCACCGACGCCATCGCTCGCACAGTTCTCGGAGAAAGAAAGATGTAGACGAAGAAAGAGCCGATACGGGCGAGGGGGTTAGGCGCAAAAAGAGCTTTGTCAAGCCGGAGCGCAGTCGCATCGATCAAGACCATCCCAACTACCACTACCGCCAACGGTCACAAAATATGCCCACATACCCATCGGCGACAGGGCATGAGCCATTAATGAATGGAGATGGTGAGGTTGATACGAACAGTTCTCGCAGTATGGATAGGGCCAAAGAAGGGGTATATGGTGAGCATGGGACTATCAACAAGCCCATGGAGCGGGCTCCGAGTCGGCATCGGTCCAAGAAAAGGAGGCACTCTCGGAAGATCTCGAAGAAGGCATCTGCACAGGAAAGGAGACGACAAAAGGCGCTGGAACAAGTCCGACCCCCAAGTTTGTGGAGTACGTATTGCGCAATCATTACATTCTGGGCACCGGATTTTATTCTTCGGTGCTTTGGAATGCCGCAAAAAGCGCAGCGGAGTGCGTGGCGCGAGAAGATCGGGCTCATTAGTATTATCCTGCTCATAGGAGCATTCGTCGGATTTTTGACATTCGGATTTACGGCTACTGTATGCGGAACCCCCCCAGTAAGGCTAAAGGTCAATCATGTCACCAAAGGCTATATGATCTTCCATGGGAAAGCCTACGACTTATCTAAATCGAAGCACCCCGCAGCTGCTGGAATTCCAGGTAGCTCCAATGTCCTCTATGACCTGCCCGATAAGTATGGTGGCCAAGATGGGAGTTTCTTTTTCCAACAAGTAAACGGAGCCTGTAAGGGTCTAATCACACTTGCGGACGGATCTGATGTGCCTACCAACTCAAATGGTGACCTGGCATGGTATTTCCCATGCACGGCTTTCAACCAGGATGGCTCATCTGAGCCCAACTATACGGAACCTTACTACAAGGGATGGGCCTGCCACACGTCAGGGAAGGCCCGGAAGTCGTTTTACAGTTTGGGAAGCTCCGGAGACGTATATTACACATGGGAGGACACGAAAAACAAAAGTAGAAACCTGGCGGTCTACTCTGGAAACGTGCTGGATCTTGATCTCTTGCGGTGGTTCAACACTGATCAGGTCAAATACCCCGCCAAATTTGATCAGCTTCGCACAAATCCGGATGTGCGCGGCGTTGACCTTACATATTATCTTCAGACTGGGGAAGAGAAGAAGATAGGCAAATGCCTGTCTCAAATCATCAAGGTCGGCAGTATAGATACTGACACAGTCGGGTGTATAGCCTCTAAAGTGGTTCTTTATGTGTCATTGGTCTTCATCTTATCTATTGTTATTGTCAAATTCGCATTTGCCTTGATCTTCCAGTGGTTCCTTGCCCCAAGGCTCGCCGCCCAGAAGACAAGCATGAGCTCGGATCCCAGGAGACGTAATCAGCAAATTGAAGACTGGTCGAATGACATCTATCGGCCAGGCCCTCGCCTGACAGACCCTACGGACCGCCCCAATAAAAGGGCCAGTTTCCTACCAACAACTTCCAGGTTTTCGAGCCCTTACACGGTGAGCAATGGCGGGAAACAACGCCCTCAATGGGTAACCATGGCGAGCCAGAACTCCACCAGCCGGTTAGTGCCTGGCGGTGGTTCCATGTATAAGCTGAGCCACAATGGCAGCGGTGGCACCTTGAGTGCAGATGCTTCCCGCCAGAATCCCACGGCTAGTCGAACGAGCTTAGTGCAAGACTCCCGCTATTCCACTGCCATTGCCGACTCTGACGGCGTTGGAGCGGGTGGGTACATCCATGAAGCCGTAGTTCCTCAACCGCCGCCTGAGTGGCAGCCCTACGGCTTTCCCTTGGCCCATGCTCTGTGTTTGGTTACTTGCTATTCGGAAGGTGAAGACGGGATCCGTACCACCCTTGATTCCATCGCGATGACCGATTATCCTAACAGCCACAAGACCATTATTGTCATTTGTGACGGTATGATCAAGGGAAAAGGTGAGGAGTTTTCCACTCCCGAAATTGTGCTTCGCATGATGCGAGATCCGGTTGTTCCCATGGATGAGGTCCAGCCGTTCTCCTACGTAGCAGTGGCAACCGGCTCCAAACGACACAACATGGCAAAAGTCTATGCTGGCTTCTACGACTACGGGGAGACGTCCATCATCCCACCGGAGAAACAGCAGCGTGTTCCAATGATGATCGTTGTGAAATGTGGAACGCCATCTGAAGCAAAACAATCCAAGCCGGGCAACCGCGGTAAACGAGACAGTCAAATTATTCTGATGTCTTTCTTGCAGAAAGTGATGTTTGATGAAAGGATGACCGAACTTGAATTTGAGATGTTCAACGGCCTCTTACATGTAACCGGCATACCCCCGGACTTTTATGAAGTTGTGCTCATGGTCGACGCCGACACGAAGGTCTTCCCGGACAGTTTAACCCACATGATCTCCGCTATGGTTAAGGATCCAGAGGTCATGGGTCTCTGTGGTGAAACTAAGATCGCTAACAAGACGGACAGTTGGGTGACTATGATCCAAGTATTTGAGTATGTACACCCTCTCTTTCGTCTCTATGCTTTTTCTGACTCTCGTACCAGGTACTTCATTTCCCATCATCAGTCCAAATCGTTCGAATCTGTCTTTGGTGGTGTGACCTGTCTCCCCGGGTGTTTCTCTATGTATCGGATTAAAGCACCGAAAGGAGGCCAGAATTACTGGGTGCCGATTCTTGCTAATCCCGACGTGGTGGAACATTATTCAGAGAATGTAGTGGACACTCTGCACAAAAAGAATCTGCTTCTACTAGGAGAGGATCGGTACTTGTCAACTCTAATGCTTCGGACTTTCCCCAAGCGGAAGCAGATCTTTGTGCCCCAGGCTGTTTGCAAAACCCAAGTGCCCGACAAGTTCATGGTCCTTCTCTCTCAGCGTCGTCGCTGGATCAATAGTACGGTTCACAACCTAATGGAGCTGGTTCTGGTGCGAGACTTGTGCGGAACGTTCTGCTTCAGTATGCAATTCGTCATCTTCATCGAGCTGATTGGAACACTGGTCCTTCCTGCGGCTATCGCATTTACCTTCTACGTGGTCATTTCGTCTATTGTCAAGAAGCCGGTGCAGGTCATCCCGCTGGTCCTGCTGGCCCTCATTCTGGGGCTTCCCGGTGTGCTCATCGTCGTCACCGCCCACCGGTTGGTCTACGTCTTGTGGATGTTAATCTATCTCATCTCCCTGCCTATCTGGAACTTTGTTCTTCCGACCTACTCGTACTGGAAGTTTGACGACTTCAGTTGGGGTGACACGCGGAAGACCGCCGGGGAGAAGGACAAGGGACACGATGCTGGAGAAGGAGAATTCGACAGTAGTAAGATCACGATGAAGCGCTGGCGAGATTTCGAGAAAGGTATGTGTGTATCTTGAGAAGACACCTCAGTTCTATAGTAGCTGACATGATCGGTAGATCGCCGGCTTCGCATGCAGGCCGCCTGGGGACAGCCTCCGTTGGGAGGATATCCTACGCGTTACGAAGAATACTCCGATTACTAGTATGTAGGGGATATGTGCTATATGTTTCTAGATGTTGGTCACGAGCGATTCGATTGACTCTTATATTACGTTTATCTTTTCTTCATTTCTAATTCTTTGTGTGTTTTTATTCTTTTTGGCTCACTCGAACGGCGTCTAGAAAAGATTTTTGTATTGCTTCCCGCAAAGGGTAAGGACCGTACACTGGTTTTCTTGGAGATACACCGTCTGCCAGGATGGTTGGATTCTGATCTGATTGTGAGAGTATTGAGCTTTGATGTATTTTTGAGCGAGACCAGCGATGGAGTATATAATGAATGGACACGACTGATGAGAGATGGGAAGGATGACCTCGTCCGTTTTTTCAATGTCACAACGAACCTCCGAGGGGAAAAAGAGGAAGTAGTTTTATATTATTTTTATTTTTATTTTTACTTTAAAAAAATTTTTTTTTTCAGTTTAAATTCTAATTTATTATTTCATTTTGTTTTGAAAAAAAAAAAAAAAAAAAAAGAAAAGCAATTACATTACTAAAATAAAATGCAACGACAGAAAAAGCAAACATGAAAGCGAAGCAGCAATCACAGTCACATCTCTTGCATGTCAGATCTTAGCAGGATTCCCGAAGAATGACCCTTGCCACAGGTGCCGATGAAACTCTCGTGTGGTTCCTCCATTTCTGTCGGTTTGGGTTGCTTTTGCCACCACGGTACCACTCCGGAAAGGTTGCTGCGGGATGCTCAGACCCTTTCTTTGGTTTTCGAGTTTCGAGATGACCTTTGGCTGGTTTTGTGAGCACACGTTCCCCTTCGAACTTCCTTTCCTTATTTTTTTTTTATTTTTTATTTATCCCCAAGTATTTTTGCTTCTGCGGATGATCCCGTCCATGTGACGCCCCATGCACGTTCTTTTCTTTTCGGTATTTGGTAAGATTGCTCTGTCTCTCTCTTGTCTCTAGTCTCTTCTTCGCTTTCACTCCACTCGCATCATGGGCCCCTCACTCACTCCACTTGTACATACTTTCAATTAATTAATCATGTATTCCCGGTTCGTATGACTGATGCATCCCTACCGACATCATTTGTTCTTGACTGAACTTCTTTGCGTACTCCATCAAAGTACTGAATAATATATATATTATTTTTTTAATGATATCTTCAAAGAGGCTGGAAACTAACTCCGATCGGCGATACTGACTTTGTGGTTCAGCCCTTCCAGAAGGTGGTTGAATAACCGTCGAAAAAAAAGAAAAGAGAACGATCAGGGGAATAAAAGGCAAATAGGAAGACGCTGTGATTGTGTTACTCTCATATTTGACTATCATCATATCTCTCCCCTTCCTTTTTTTTATGACTTGTTTTTCTTGTGGGCTTCTTTCTCAATTTTTAATTTTAATTTTTTTTTTTTTTTTTTTCTTTTCGTGTTCCCATTTTGGGAGGTGAACATCAAACTACTGCAACTCGCTGGAGTGTTAGTCCTTCCTTTACTTACTCACTCCGTACACTTACTTTCTTTTTTATTGGAAACACCGCCCCTCTCTTTCTCCCTCTCTTCCAAACAATTCATTCTCTCCCACTTTTGTCATTCCAACCACATGGTATAACTTGACTCCCGTCTTACACAGAGCCGCAAGTTTAGTTTGCGACACCTGAGGGAATCCTTTTACGCCCAACCTGACCGTGTTCTCCGCGTGGGGGGGATTGGTGGGAGACGAAGCTGCGGGGTGACCGACGGGTTGCAGAGCCAAGATCTGTGATCCCCGATCGAGAGAAACGTGGACGGTTTTCGCTGTTCCTGTGTGACTTCCCGTGCCAATCAGGCCCCCTTCAACTACATTACGTCCTGGTCTCGTCTATTGCGATTCTGTTTGCCTTCCCGCGGCTTGCGCGAAGCTCTTGTGGTCGAGTTGTCGGCTTCCGAACGAGGCGCTCCATGAAACGGCAATGCCTAATCAGAGTGGATCTGATATCTCCTTGACGTCGTCCAGCTCGTCAGTATGCCCAGGTGACCGCGATACGAGGCCCGGCTCCTCATCATGTGACACCCTGGCCCCGTCGCAGCATCGTCGGCCTTCTTCTTCCACCCAAGAAGGCGTTCCGGTGACAAGAGATCAGCAACCGGTGTTGAGCGATACTGATGCGGTCTCAAGTGCTTTCGACCCGACAGACCCGGGTATCTCTGCCATCATGGCGCTGCCTCAGTACCCGAGCGTCGCTACTAATGAAGCCAACTTTTTGGCTGTCTCCGAGGTCGTAAATGCGGTGATCGATCGCGATTCTTATTTCCGCCGTGTAGGGGAAGGGGATGAGGGAACCGCCCATCGTCACTCATCGCCACCCACCGACTTGTACATGTCAGATTCCGAGATGACGGATGTATTGTCCGACCTGGGCGGGGTACCCCTTGCGCCATATGAGAGCGGGCAACTCGGCATGGAGACACTGGTTCACCACTTGATCGATCACGCAACAGCCAGGCGCGCCATCTCTACGATTTCGGAAGATAGTGAAGACGAAGACGAAGATGCCGCAGCCCTGATCACAAACTACGACACTCCTGTAAATCAAAATCCGTCCACACCGATATCTGAGCAGGATGATCTCCTCGACGACGCAGAGAAGTTTTACTCGGATGAAGAGAGTGGCAACTACGATGAAGATTTCGCTGACCAGTCCGAAGTTTACCAGGATGGGGACATGTCGGAGGTGGATTACGACGATTTCTATCGAGGCATAGATCATGACCTGGGCTCACAGGCAACAGAAGTCACGGGCCATGATGACCACAACTACCCCTCCGATGGTGAGGATTGGAGTGGTGGAGATTTGACTGGCGATCCCCGCTTTCCTGCCTCCGTCATACACGGAACCAGTATGTACTATCATGGTCTCACATGAGCCAACTTATCTTTCTTTCCTTCCATCCATCCTTCTATTGTATAACTTGCTCAGACTGAGGCCATGCTGATTGTCTTGTGTGCGATAGCCCATGAAAGAAACTTTACTATCGACCAGTTTATCTCTCAATGGCTTGTCCAGTCGACGGCGGCCTCGATACCGAGTCTTCCGGTTATATCGATGGCAATGCCACCAAGTCCCATTTCCAACATCCTTGGCTGGAATCCTCCAGCAAAGATCGCACGGCCGAGTGGGTACTCAGGAGACTTTTATGACATCCAACAGATTCCCTGGTGGGAGACCTTACGAGTCAAGCGAGCAGACGCCCGGGAGCTGCGAGACCTCTGGTATACGTCGTATCATAACTTAGAGTACTCGAATCAACGGCCGGGGTTGCGACTATCGCAGGAGGAGTTTTACTTCCGGGAAAAGGCTATGTACACCAAACATAAAGCTACGATCGAGCACTTTCAACTCCGGAACCTGATGTCCGTGGCAGCCTACAATACGGTGCACTTTTCCCAAGAGTCAAAAGTGTATTCCTGGGCGCCTGCGTATGATAACGTGAGCTGCTTGATCGATCTGTCCAAACCGTCTGCCGAATCCGGATTCCACGCGCCCGTAAAGATCTCTACTATGAAGTCGGCTCACGACGTTGCCATCGCTGGTGGGTTTGCAGGTGAATACGCGGTGCGGGCAGTGGGCACGCAGGAAGGTAATGTTGAAGGTTTCGTGACGAAAGATCCCAATGGGATCACCAACCATATCGATGTCGTCCCCAGTCGCACGAGCCGGTCGCCGATGGGCATCTTTGCATCCAACGACCGACACCTCCGCGTGCTGGACGTGGAGACCAACACCTTCATTGCAGATCAAGAGCTGTCACGAGCCATCAATTGTACGGCCACCTCGCCGGATGGACGTTTGCGGTGTGTTATTGGGGACTCACCTGACGCTTGGGTTATCGAGGCGGACACGGGACGACCTGTACATCCCCTCCGGGGCCATCGCGATTTTGGGTTTGCGTGCGCATGGTCTCCCGATATGCGGCATATCGCCACCAGCAACCAAGATAAGACAGTGATCATCTGGGATGCACGGACCTGGCGCATCCTGGAGAAGATCGAGTCGGACGTCGCGGGGTATCGATCCCTCCGATATTCGCCGGTCGGCGGCGGGCCACGCACGCTACTGCTGTGCGAACCGGCCGACCGCGTCTCGATCATCAACGCGCAAACGTACCAAACGCGGCAGGTGCACGACTTCTTTGGGGAAATCGGTGGTGCGGACTACTCTCCGGACGGCAGTACAGTCTGGGTCGCCAATACCGATGAACATTTCGGTGGATTTATGGAATACGAGCGACGCCAATGGGGACAACGATACGGAGTACGGGACTTGCCTCATGAATGGGTGCGAGAGTCCGACTTGGACGAGGATGAACGATGCGTTCTAAGCGAACGAGAGCGACAGATGCGTTTCTGGTGGAATTTAACCGACGAAGAACATGAGGAGATGTTACTGGTGTAACAATCGGATTGCTACCTTAGCCGCTGCAGCTCAAACAGCTTCATCCTCAAAAGAACCATGCGCTGCCACCGCCATTGGTTGTCGAACCTGAAGAAGGGGAATGATATTCGACGGGGGCGTTTTTCGGGAAAGAGGGATTCAATATTTGCGACGCAAGCGTTCTATTACGGAATCTCCGCATATTTTATTTTATTTTTATTTCTTTCTTTACCCTATTCTCTTTTTCTTCTTTCATGTCTTACTGTATCTACAACATACTGGGAGGCCTGCTGACTGCGTTACGAGATACCACTGAATTGATTCCTGCACATTGTTTTTTTTTTTCCATCGAATAAAAAGGTCTACGTAATACCCGTGTGGCGACCAAGATCGGTGTGATCTGATCGGTACCCAATAGTCGGGGCTGTGGCTGGGCAACCCCACCGCCGATCTTCAGCTCAACCAAAAAGCACAGCCGCAGCCCCTCCTCGTCTCGGAAATAAATACCATACAAACAACAAAACTTCCCCCTGATCCATCCTTCCACATCATCTCCTATCTTTCTCTCATTAAAACATCAGAACCAAAGAAAATCAATATGGGTTTCTCCGACATCCTTCAAGACGCCGTCTCCCAGGCCGTCAGCCACGCCACTAACAACTCTGGCGGCGGCGGCAACAACAACAACAACCAGGGCGGTTCCAACCAGAGCTACGGAGGAGACTCCTACGGCGACCGTCCCTCCCACGGCGGCAACCAAGGCGGCTACGGAGGAGGCTACAACGACCGCCCCTCTCAAGGCTACGGAGGTGACTCCTACAACGACCGTCCCTCCCACGGCGGCAACCAAGGAGGCTACAATGACCGTCCCTCTCAAGGCTACGGAGGAGACTCCTACGGTGACCGCCCTTCCCACGGCGGCAACCAAGGCGGCTACGGAGGAGGCTACAACGACCGCCCCTCTCAAGGCTACGGAGGTGACTCCTACAACGACCGTCCCTCCCATGGCGGCAACCAAGGCGGCTACGGAGGAGGCCCCTCTTACAACGACACCTCTTACAACGCCCCACCCCCCTCCCACGGCGGCTATCACAATTCCAATCCCTCCTCCCATGGCTTCTCCGACAGCGACGTGAACCCAGCCCTCGCCCACGCCCAACAGCACTCCGACTCCAACTCCAATGACTCCTCCCTCTTCAGCACCGCCCTGAACTTCATCAAGGACAAGCAAGGCCGCTCTTCCTCCCCCGACATCGACGAGTCCGAGATGGTCCAGTCCCACCAACAGCTCTACAATGACGACGATGGCAGCAAAACCCATGATTCGAGGTCCCTAGGTGCTGGTGCTGCCATGCAGGCGCTTAAGATGTTCAGCTCCGGCCAGAGCGGTGGGTCTTCCGGCGGTGATCAGAATGCCTTCATTGGTATGGCGATGAGCCAGGCTGCCAAGCTTTGGGAGCAGAAGAATTCGAGTGGCAACGTGGTGAGTTTTTTCTTTTTTTTCTTTTTATTATTTGCTTTTCTTTTTTCTTGTGTGTGTATTTGACTTTGGATGAATGCTAATCTGGGTTGCTGTAGACCGATGATAAGCAGTCGGCTGTTAACAAGGCCGCTGAGATGGCATTGAAGATGTACATGAAGAACCAGGGTAGTGGATCGTCCGGTAGTGGTGGGCCGGCGTTGATGAGCTTGGCCAGCAAGTTCCTGGGCAAATAGGTTTGGTTAATGGTTTAATTTGTTTCTTTCGTGTGAATATGGTATATGGTTTATGTTATATTGTTGGACATGACAGAATGATATACAGAATGATCTGCTACTATTGAACGCATGAATAAATACATGCTATGCCTCTTGAAGGGTGAAATTTGATCACAACAATTCTATTTTATAATCTAAACAGCCAGGGTTCATGCAGCGCCAAACAATGAATCCCATGGTATCAGTAGACCAGCAAATCCAAAGCAAAACTCTAAACTAGAACTCGGGGTAAAAAAGCGGATATTGGGAATGAGAATAGAAAGAGAAAAAAGAAAAAAAAAAAAAGGTAGAAAGAAAAGCAAGTCAAATCACCACTCATCGTCGTCGTCGTGCTTGCCTTGCATCGCATGTTGTCGTGCTCTCAATGCCTCTGCGAGGCCTCCTGCTAAGCTGGCGTTCGAGGTACTGTTCGGCGTCCCGCGACCACTACCGCCGGATGAGTCGTGCGAGTTCATGCTCACAGCGCTATCCCGAGGCGCTGGTGGAGGTGCCGGCACCGCTTTTCTTCCAGCCATATTCGGGCGCTTCGCAGGTGGTGCAGGAGGTGCCGGCTTTGCCTTGGCTGCGGCCGCAGTAGCGGCGGCTCCGTTGGCAGACGGCACCGGACTTGCCCTGGGTGCGGCTGGTGGCGGTGGTGGGGGAGTAGGCTTAGGTGTAGGCGCGACTTGCTCTTCTAGATACGCCTGGGGGGTCCAGCCCTGGACGGACGTTGTCATGTTCATGCACAACCACCAACCTACTACACATTAGCCTCGTAAACACAAAAATGAAGAAGTCAAAAGCTTACCGTTTCCTTCCTTCGATACAATCTGCACAACTTCTCCCGCCCGGATGTCCAGCTCGTTGGATTGGGCACTAGTGAAATCGTACAAGACCTTCGCGGTTGCTTTCTTTGGTGCCGGAGCGCTCGCAGGTGGTGGTGGGGGTGGAGCTCTCACGGAGCCAGATGAGGCATTCCGTATATGAGAAGCGGCTGCGGCTGCAACGGGCTGGGGAACAGGTCTAGGAACGGCAGCTGGCTGAGGGGCAGGAGTTGGTTGTGCCGCAGCCGGCTGCGACTGAGGCAGGGGCTGGGCTTTGGGTGTAGGTCTGGGTGCAGGTCTGGACGCCAGTTTCGACGGCCCGCCACCCGGACCCCCGGGGCGCAACAACTTTCCTTTGGTGACTGGTCGCGCTGCAACTTGCTTCGCTCGCGGTGTCGGCTTGGAGACCGAGCTCGGGGGCTCACCGGGGCTAGTGTGAATAGTGTGGCTCTTGTAGGTATCAACGTTCGGAGACGCGGCTGGATCCTTAATAGCTTTGACGGTAGCCAACTTGCCGGGCTTCTTGTTGTATTCAATGCTATATTGGATTAGCGGAGGGAAGCACATATACATGAACAAGACTTACTTCTCGGAAATCTTCAGATTCAATTGCCCACGCAAAGCGGTCTGAAGATGAGTGAAAAATTCCGTTTTGAAGACACAGTTGATCAAAGGATCAGGTTCCTGCCCACCGATGATTAAGGAGAACCAGTCGTCTTTCAGGTTTGAGGTGCTGACAGCTTTGATGGCACCAATCGGTACCGTTCTTTCAGCTGATATTTGCAATTGGTTATTGACAAGAGTTTGTGCCACGATATATACATGTCGGTTTGTCTGCAATTGTTAGGATACGATTTGTTTTCGGCATCGTCAAGTCACTCACCAAAACGAGAATCCGTGGAGAAGGTTTACTAGACCGACCAAACTTGGAGATCAGGACTTCACCACGGCAAGAAAAGAGGATATCCTCCGACCCTTGCATAAAGTCAGCGAACATTGTCAACTATAAAGTAGTACAATTACACTTACCGCTAATGCCTGCACCGTTGCGGATCATCTCTCCCGGTCCACCCTTGTTACCGATTCCAATGTAGTCACCAAGGAATCGTCGAGAGCCGAGCAAACTCATTCTGCGACGTTCCTTACGACCCTGGAGCACCTGATGACCTTGATCACGCACCTTAATAAGTTCAAGACCGCCGGTGGTGCGACGCCAGAATCGCTGGATGCGGATGGCGCACTCAATACGATAACGAAGGTAGTTACGCCATGCGCGCTGGATGCGAATGGCCATGTTGTGCCAGTACCGGTCACGCATAGCCTCCAGGGCAAAAAGTGTTTCGGGGGTCTTAACGAACACCTTCGTGATACCCATCTGGTACTCCTCTGCGGGAATGCTAGTGTCCTTGAGGATCTGCCGAGCGCCTGATTCTGCGTCGCCGGTCCATGTGTAATCGCCGGCATAGGACGTCTTCGGGGACAGAAGATAAAAACGCTCCACGAACTTATCGAAAGTTTGACGATAAGCGAAACCAGCACGTCGAATTCGGACGTTTTCCTGGAGACCGAGGTATTTAATTTGATGCAGAACGTTTCCAACGTTGTACTCCTTCGGGGCCTTATTGTCGTTTGGCTTGATGGTACGAATATAGGATGGTTGAGCTTTCATCAAGGTAGCCACCAGGTCGTTAGCGGAAGCCTTGATCTTATCGCTAGCAGTAGGTGGGCGCCTCTTATCATCCTGGTTGACCTGGTTAGGGAAAAGTGTGTGGACAAACTGATTGCCGCTCGATCCAACAAGGTTCAGCAGATCCTTCAGCAGCTGGTCTTTGTTCTTGTCCGTCATGCCCTCTACCGAGTAACTGACGTCACCGGCGTAGTGCTTGACAATGAACTGACCCTGTCGGTTCTCGAAGTTTGGATTCTGCCCGAGGAAGTTCAGTCTGCCCACAAATGTGTTGTCCGCAGCGCCAGAATCGGCATGCGCTGTTGCGCAAGCGTCATTGAGGGCAGCGAAAACACCCGGTGGCCGCTTGTCTTCAATCAACGAGCACACAACCTTGTTATCAAAATATTTGATGGGCGTCCACTGGATCTGCTCGCGAGCATATTCGTCTTGTTCGGCCTTCAGGGTCAATTGGATGAAAATTTGCTGTAGTTTCTCATTAACATAGTTAATGCAAAGCTGTTCGAAAGAGTTCTTGTCGAAAATTTCGAACCCATAGATATCCAGGATTCCAATTGAGTTCGCTACAGGTTCCCTGGCAGTTAAGGACTGATTGACACGACCCACGATCCAATCGAAAAGATTGAAATAGATCGCCTTGGATAGCGCATCACGTACGGCAAGGGCTTGGACAGTGTTCAGAGGAACTTCGTAAACTGATCCCCTGCGGCCTCCGCGAGCGGTTTCCATGATGCGAATAGTGAGCGCTTTGTTCACCTGAGCAGGATCAACTTCCAGCAAGTAAGCGACAAAATCAACAACCGACTGATCTGAGATAGCAGCGTTTCCAGAATCGTCCTCAGCGAACTGAACGTTTCCAATCCACAGAATGGCCGCGAGCATTCGGAAGACGTTGTCCTGTTCGGCTTCGCTCATGCCGATCACACCCATTGCATTCAGAGTATCCCTGAACTCGGCACTGTCGTCCACCCCGGGCACGTCGAAGCATTTCGAGCGGCTTGTATAGAGGTAGGATTGGGGCTGCTGTACACCAAACATATCTACCATTCATTAGACCATTTTCGCTGTTGTGGGGACAGAAATCATACCTCGATATTTCTGCGGCGCTGCCTTTGTAAATTGGTAGAAGATGTGGAAGTTTCGCTCGTTGGCGATCTGACCGACGACTCGCGATTTCTCTAGCAAGTAATTGGTGATGTTGGCGCCAACCGGCTCACCGTTAGCATTGAATTCCAACTCCAGGTACTTTCCGAACCGAGAAGAGTTATTGTTGCGCAGCGTCTTCGCATTACCGAATGATTCGAGTAGCGGGTTTGTGGCCAGAACCATGTCTTTCGTCTGTTGGATGGACGAGTCACTTCCGCCGGATACACTGGCGATGTACTGCATGATCCGCTTTGCGGCCTCTGTCTTCCCCGCACCCGACTCTCCGGAAATAATCACACATTGGTTATCTTTGTAGGATTTCATGTTATAATAGGATGATTCTGCGACTGCGAAAACGTGAGGGGGAACTTCGAGACGGTTCTTACCCCGATAGGAGTCGAGGACACTATCGGTATAGATGCCCACTAGAAAAGGGGTCAGTCAGCTTATGTCCATCCCCTGATCATGCCTTTCAATGGGACTACCTACAGTCTCGAAACGGGTTCACAGACACCAACACATGTCCGATGTACGTCTAGAAGAAAGACAACACTTAGTCCCCGTCTGGCGCATGCCCCGCGACATCAACTTACGTAGATTTCGTCATGCTCGAAGCGGAGTTTCAGGTTGTCGTTGATGGCTTCATTCGAGATCTTGCTCAGCAATGTAAGATCCGAAACACCAATCTCCTTCTTCTTCGTTGTCTCAAATGTGGCCTTCTTGACCTGCGGTTTCCCCGCTTGTCGCCCGTCACCCACATCAGCGACCTTCGAGCGACCGAAGCCTCGACTCTTCTTCTCCCCGCCAACAGGACGTCGTGAGTGTCCCTAATTGCAATCGTGCGTCAGCGGAATTGTTTCTTGGGCTTAGGTCCAAGCCAGCATCGCATGCAGGAGTTTGCCAGACACAGAGAAAGAGGCGACTCACCATGGTTGTTGTTACCGACTACCCCGGATTGGGCGCCCAGGCGTCAAGATATGTGGTGTATAAGTTTAGAAACGGGGTATTGTAAAGTAAGCGTTCAGGAACTGAGGGGAATGAGCGCAAAAGAAAGGTCGCTCATTCCAGGTGTATACACACACGAATAAAGAAAGTGAAGAAGTGTGAAAACGAACAACGCTCGTAGAATGAGTGGTGCAAGATAATGGGGGGGAGAAGAAGGAGGAATGACGATGTGGTGCCTGTGGAGGACAAGACGCAAGACCGTCAAGTCACTACTAGTATTGTTATTCGGCGGGACAGCCGATGGAACCTCCGTCTGCGCCACACACACACGTGTGGCACCGTTGGGTCGACTTCCTTTCAGGTCGACAACGCGCAATCCCTTAAAATCCAAGGCCTGGTACTGGTTAATAATCTCGACAATATTCGCCTCTTCCTAGGGTTCTGGCGGCGAAATTGGTGCCTTGTCCCTGGAGATCCAGGATTTTTACTGCAACATGACATTCAATATATTATTACTATTAATAGGATTTCTCAAATTATCTATATATTC